TGTGTGTGTGTGTGTGTGTGTGTATTCTACTCTGAGATATATGCCTTTATATCAAAAGTTAATGTCAGTATACGCTACCTGAAGTGAGAAGATATACTCCTTTTCTCATGTTTTGTTTTTATTGGTGCTAAATCAGGTAATAATGTAGCTAAAGGAGTTTTAAAAGGTGTGAGAGAAAGAATATATATCATTATATTCTCAAAGGATTCCTTTCTACAGCTCATAATTAAGAAAGATAAATTGTAGAAAATGTAACAAGAAAGATAAATTGCACAAATTGTAGCAAAGAGAACTTTCTTACCTGCACCTTAAATCATAATATTGTCTTTAAATTGCTTGGAAATTCTTAATATTCTAAGTCATAAACAATATAWTTCTAATTAATTGATTATGGTTTGAATTCCAAATGTGAAAAAAGAGCACTCCCTAGAAAAAATAACTCAACTGCATTATAATGGTAAAGCTAAATTTGAACATGTTTTTCATTTTATGAATCAGCTATTGGATCTACTTTGTTCTCTGTTTTTGACTCTTTCACATCAAGCATATTGTATTTTTGTTTTCCTTTTTAACCTGCTAAATATGAGCTAAATAAAAATAAAAATAAAAATAAAAATAGTAATAGTAATAGTAATAATAATAATAATAATAATAATAAAAGATACTTCAGATACTTCTAATTAAGGTGCATTAGTGCAATATTAAATCTTGAAAATAAAAGTGCAACGAGCAGAAATGTTCTAAAAGGACATTTTCAGAAGAGCTAACGACCCACAAGGAGTGCAATTGCAAGCATGCAGAGTTTAAGGTTACATACGTCCACTTTGTATCTCTTCAGTCTTCTCTCATTAAGCTGGGGAACGAGTTGCAGCAAGGGATGCAGGACAGACGACTGAGAGGACACGAACACAGACACATGAGCAACAATGAAATCCTGACCTCACGATGCACATAATGTCTCTTCCCAGGCTGAAGGTGTTAACTGAGGGAACTCATTTCTTGAACACTCTGAACTGACAACGTAAAGGTGCCAACATCTACATCTACGCTGAGAATGGGACGCGCACAGGGATGGAGGGAAGAGCTGTGCATCCTCACCTTTATGCGCTGAAAATTCAGCACGGTTCACAGGCTCACTGCCCGGGTAACTGCAACTCTCATCAGCCTCTGTGAGGCTGCAGAAAGCATGTCCCCACACAGCTTCTACTAACTTATCTGCTATGAAAATTAGCAACTTCAATTGCCTTTGTAGTGAATAATTTTACTTTAAAATATTTTAAAACACCAGGGGAAAAAAAAAAGAAGAGAGATCTTTTGCTAGAAAGTAGTTTACAGGARAGACTCATTCTCAAGTGAATTTTGTAACGGTCTGCCATGCAATATCACTTACAGGAGTGATATAAGAGGTCAGCTCTGCCCTGCAGCCAGTGGAGAAGGGAAAATGGAGGAGGAGGAGGTTGTCACCCACATTGCTACAGCCCAGCCAAGCCCAGACCCAGGGCTAGGAAAGGCCCACCTGCAGAGCTAAGCCCAAGTGGCAGAGCAGTGTCCTATGGGGTGGGCAGGGTTGAAAGGCTTCGGCATGGGGGGAAGAGGGAGGCAGGCAGCTCTTTAGCAGGAGCTCCTTCCACTAAGGCCCTGACTATCACTAGAAGCTCCTAAACTATTCTGAAAATCCTGACTACAGCATCACCTGTATTCACCAGCAGCCTAGAAAGCAGTTAGTGTGGCTTTGCAGCAGATACACAGCGTATTTCTGAACAAAGGTAGCAAACGAAGCAGTAACAGACAGTAACACTTCAGAATGATTGTTAAGAAACAGAAGACATGAATAYGTTTWACCTCCTCAGTGTCATAGGACACACATACAAAATACCTGATGCACATAAAAAACATGTTTGCACTTTAAAAGCAAGAGTGGATCCCATTATTTACTGACTTTTGAGAGTACTTTTATAGCAAAAATTTTAGGCTACATAAAAAGCATGGTACTTCTCATCTATAATAAAATCTGAAATCTTAATTAGACTTTTTACTATTTTGCCTAACAGACATTTATGATTAAAATGAATTATTAATACAATAATTATTGCAATTCAATAAAAATTAATATGTGAGGCCAGATTCTCACCTGSTATAAGAGAGTTGTTCACTGCATATGTTATGCTTACAAAATGCCAGAAACAAGCAAGTGCTCTTGTTCTCACAGATTAAAACTMCTTAAGATGTAGTTGTGAATCCTTAAATATTCAGTAGTTTTATATTTGCATAAAGTGTTCATGCAGTGTTGCTGGTCCTTCGCCATGTTATGAAAACATATTCTATGCTGTGTACATAAATTTCCTGGGTTTGACCTTGCTATTCAGTAGGAGAGACTGTTACAGAAAGGAACATTATCTTGTGTTTAAGTACAAGCACACATGTACTCACAACGAGGTGCTACGCAACTTACCATGATGTCTGAGTTGCCTGAGTCATGAGTCTTAGAATAATGAAATAAGAACTGTTCAAAAAAATTAAAAGTGGGATTTTACTACAAGACCGGGCAAGGAGGTTATGATTTTCTTGACAATTTTAATTTACCACAAAACATACACAGAAATCTTACCCTTTTGGTGTTGTCTTTTTCATCTAAACCCTGTGGGAAAAATATTGGTAGAGARGCTTTTATTTGATTAAAATGATAAAAAAAAGCAAAAATAGACAGTTTTAATTACATTATAATCTTTTTAATAGTGGCTTGGAACATTTTCAAGTGTTTTAGATACCTTTGCTTATCTATGTGAATGTTCTTATCAGCCCCTGTAGAGGCCATAGATTACTGGAAGAATTGATGGGTTTAATTGGATGCTTCTCCATATACTTATGTTGCCAAGATTGTGCCATTCTATCCTTCCCATCATCAAAAGAGGTATATGTAATGTTTTGTTGTTTTGTCATACCAAGAATCTGTGTTTTTATGTTTCACTATGAACTCAAGCTCCAGTTCTAGCCAAAAAAAGACAAAAAAAAAAAAAAAAATCTTGGCAGCAGCAGATTATCCTAAGTAAATTTGTTTCTTCATAGACAGCTGCATAATTTCTCACCTACAGCAATATTAACACTTGAAATCTTAAGAAATCTTACTCTTCAAACACTAGAATTTCACAGCTGTCTTCAACACATGTTAGATTAGGACATACAGTATTTTGGCACCAGAAATAATACTATTACTTCAAACAGTTTGGATATTGTGTCTTCTGAAATCACTGTAGACACTGGCACGCTGAGTGAGTATGTTTCAGATGCATGAGGTAGCTTTTCATGTGCTTTACCTGTGGTTTCTGGAGAAATCCCATGACCAGAAAGCAAAGCTCTTCCAGGGCACTGGAAGCCTGTGCAAAAAAACAAACAAAAAAAMCCCCATTGAACTCGGACATCACACTTCCACCCTACTGCATTTAGTAAGTAATGTCAAAAGTGAATTAACCTATATCTAAGGTGACTCACCTGAGGCTGATAATCTGTGGACAAGTAGGTGGAGCATGCATCATCTATCTGTAAAAATTCACATAGTAGTTCTTTAAGAAGTCATATTTAACATAAATATAAAAAACACATACATTTTCTAAAACAGTTCAGTGCAATCAAAGGCATAACAAATTTATCCACCATAGGGAATTCATCTAGCTGCATTCCTGAAATTCAGGAGAAACAACCACCTTTAACTGAATGAACAAYTTTACACTTGCTTAATCTCAACAATCTCAACATACTTACCTGTATCCATTATTCTGAAATACCATCCATGTCCCTCCTACTTATAACCCTCTCAGACAGACTCATAATTTAGAGGAAGACTGCACGCCTCCAAGGCATGGGCTATGGGCATAGCTCTCTTCTATAGAATCTTTGGGTTATATAAACTGCAAAGAAAATGTCAGTACTAACGTGGTGCCCTCAAATGCTGCTCTGCTGCCTAGATTGCAGTATCGCTGCAGGTGAATGATTCACACACCTCTGGAGCAATTAAGGTGAGTGCCGGCACATCTGGCACATGCCAGACCATCTGTGGAGTCACCAGCCCACCAGCCTGCAAGGTTTCAACAACCCTTCTCTCCAGCTACCAGCAGTCTGGAGCCCACCAGCTCTGAGTGGTGGTTCCTTTACAATAAAGCTCTGTGGACTTCAGTGAATTTGGCCAGGGTCTCTCTGAACCTTGGCGAAGATCACGGCAGTGCACAGCAAGGCTTTGCTAGGCACTGCACAAACCACCGCGGCGAGGTGCTGGTCAGGCTTTCGAGCTTCGTGAGTGCTGCTGCAGACTTGGCTTGGAAGAAGTAATGAGTAATTGATCCCTACCGCCCTCTCTTTACCGTTCATGACCATAATCACAGCCTCTTTCCACTGTCTCTTTTCCAGGCTGAAAGGATCCCACACTAAAGTATTTTCAGTGCAGTTATTATCCAGGAAGTAAGAGGAAATAGAAAACAAACAAACAAACAAACAAACAAAAAGCCACTTGGAAGTTATTTTACCACAGCTGAAAGCTCTAAGTCTTTTGAAAGGAAAAGAATCACTAGTACTTCAGCCGGAGCTGCAAAGTTTATAATAATGAAAAAAGGCTTAACTTTTCATTATATAATTTAGGAAACGTATCAATAGGAACCCACATTAGAGTACACCATCTTTTTTCTATTGAATATGTGATACTGTTAGCTCAGATGCCAAAAACCTTTACTGATCATTATATTGTACACAGATTGCTGCAAAAATGTATTTTTTTTCAAATGAAGAGTGGGGAATACAATGGGTCTTTTAATTTTATTACAGATAAAGAGCCCTAAACAGCACTCTATAGTGAAGAAAACATTAAATGAAAAAAAAAAAGCAATGAACAAATAATGCATAACAGAGTACTTCAAGACAAGAAATGATTCATTTCTCAAGGGAGAACTGAACAGAAAGCATTAGCAKGGATGGTGGGAAAGGTTCTCCTTTCAAGTAGGTTTTGTTGGTAGCACATCCTCCCCCTGTCCTTTTCACTTGATCTTACATTCGCTTCTCTCTGGGATCATGACTTCACTGTCACTACTAAAGGGTCAGGGTAAGAATATGTTACATAATTTCACATGGAATTTAGTATTTTATGCATATTTCTTTATCCACTGAGAAAAGGAGCTTTGTCTTGGCCCTCCAATGACTGTTGCAGTGAATCCTGTTTTACGAAAGCAAATGAAAGGATAAATGCAGAAATGTATAAACCAGCATCTTTTAATCCAGCATTTATGGATTCATTTTCATAAACTCTTCTAGCTAATAGGACATTACTTCCCAAGGGATCATTTTTCCCTGGGAGATAAATATYGTCAGGGCTCGTGCAGGAGCCAGTGTGTGAGTGTGTCAGTGCTGGAGTCAGTAGCTCTGCGATGAAGTAAAGGGAGTTGTCAATAAAGGAAGTGTGTACCAGGAAGGCACCAAGAGCAGGAAATTTACTCTGTGTTCCTGAACCCCATCCTTTCCATGATGAAAGAGTCTAGATGAGTCTAGGTTGATTTCTAATGTTATCAGAAGCCACAGAATTAAACATCAAGGGAGTCCTTCAAGATGACAGCAGCAGGAGAGCAGCGTGTTTTGGGCCAGCCCTCTCTCAGTGTTAAGTCCTGCTGCTCCATCTGGTCCAAAAGGGCACAGAAGAACCCATGTTAAAGCACACCGGAGCAGTACGTAAGTTTGAAAGAGGGGAATGGAAACTACAATAACTGTCAGTATTAAAACATTAGAGGAGCTAACTGAAACGGGACATTACCTCTTACATAGTAAAGTAAGATGCTGGGATATGATTAAATCACCTGTGTGCCGAACTGAAGAAGCAGGAGAGAGACTGCATGAATTGAAACAATTACTATTATCCTGTGCAGACTATAAAGGTCTTGGGTGGTATATAATGTCTCCAGAGACAGTGACTGCCTGATGATTGACAGTTAAATGACAACAGCCTTCAAGCTCTCCACTGAGCCAAGACTTTGGCTYTTCCTGGATGCCACCTCATCACGCAGCCTCACCGTCCTTCTGGAACAACTGCTCAGAAAATCTACACGCTTCATTTTTGCTTCTTTACTGACGCTGACATCAGAACAGGAGGTGAATAGGAAACGTAGGGATAGAGAAGCAGCAGCACTTGAGCTCCATGTGTGAGCAGTGCAGGAGAGCGAGGTGTGAGAGCAAGGACTGGCACGGAGGAAAGGGGAATATCCCACCCAGCAGTACAATATGCAGCACCAGGGTGGGTTAATTGTGTGTCCCTGGCCTGCTCACAACACGGTGCAAGAATTACTGCCAGCCGTCAGTCCCACAGCAAAGGGCTTTTACCCACCTTGGCCGAGCTGCCCTGCCTGCCATTCTTACCTCCTTCCACAGCTGCATATCCTCATCTGCCTGTAGTGCTTGCGATGGCATCGGTGCRCCTGGAAGCACGAGAAAGAGCTTATCAATACCATACAGAAAGGTAATTTTTATAAGTTTCCTATTTCAGTGAATTAGACAATAATTCTGAGTACAACACCGCATCCTGCAAGTCTGGAGTACTCCTGTTGCTGACAACACAGAGAGGTCGAGGCTCTGAGGGCATCTTCCAACCTACACATTGTTAGAGCTGTCTGGTAGTTTCTGCCTTGGTCTGCTCTGCTCTTGGTCACCCCAGCAGCAAGTTCTTTCACAAGGTGACCGCAGATACAGACACCCACATCTCTTGGCAATAAGCAGGGTAGATCTGACTCCCTTTTCACCAAGGGTCAGCCGAGCTTTAGTCCATTCTTGGCAATAAGAAGCATGAAAGAAAATGYGTGCAGCAGCCCTTTGACCCGAGATCTGCTCAGGAAAACACATTCCCCCATCTACAGCTATCAAGTCTTCAAGCTTTGTGACCGGTTCTGCTTCTTCTATTCGGTGTTTGTCCTACGGAAACTTTTGGTATCTTAGAAGATTAAATGTGTTATTTCATAAAGTGGAAAACTGGAAATAAGGCCCTGCCTTTTGCTGGAATGTGGAAAACAATAATTTGTAGGAGGCAGTTGGATGTGATCTAGTAGCAGGAGTCATTAAAAGCCACTTTGAGGTAGCTCTGCCAGGTGCCCTTGGTAGCCAATTTTGCCTGGGGGCAGTTCTTCAGCCCATCTTCCCGGCTGGGATGCAGACCTGGACTTGACTGCATCTGGGTCCCTCCCAGATCAGCTCCCGGTATATCCAGCTTTCCACACTGCTGGTATTTTATCCAGCATGTATTTATCTGTTGCATTTATAGYGACAACGTGCTACCAGAATCTCTGTAACTAACAGAGCTCAGCGTGAGTGATTTGTGAGAGAGTCCCCACGTTGCACGTTGTCCGCATGTGGAGCAGGACGCCCATTCCTGGAGGAGAGTCCTGTGCCCGGCCTTGCTTTTGGAGACCCCGGCTCACTGGAGGCCTCACAGCCCCCCACACCACCTACAACCACCCGCAGTAACTTCTGTTGCCAAATGATTCAGAATGACAAGGGATGGAGCCAGATTTAGAGCATAGTGACTAGGTGAGCAAGATATGGATGTCCATCATCCCATTTGTTTTACAAGTGCCACTAATAACAAAAGTAGTCATTTTCAGATGTAAAACTGTATTTAAAACCCTATACTGGTACCCCAGTTTCAAGATGAATGATTATCTTGGATGCACACTTTTTGCCACCAAAAAAAAAAAAAATTAGAAAAGGATCTCAATTTCATCTTATGTAGGGAAATTTTTGAAATCTCTGGAAGTTCCACATGGCAAATGCTTCCTACTGAAAAAAAAAAAAAAAAAAGCTTTTTTTTTTGGCAATTGGTTTTAGTTCAAGGAAAAACTGCAAACAAATTAAAAATGTTACAATTCTTTTACTGTGTTTCCTACTCTTAATTACTATATTCCCATTGGAGCATTGCCCCAGGTCTGGTGTCTGGTTTAAGGATATATTCCAAGCGTGGAGCTGGGCAACACTTCAGGTAAACACTCTGCCTCCGAACTCTTGGCTTCTCTGTCCCTGAGCGCTGCTGCTGCCATTGCCTCATTGCCAGGACCCTCCTGGGTGAGCAGAAGAAATCCAATAGCCTGAAATCCAACAGCCAGTAAAGCAGACACCAGCAGCCAAGGAACCCCAGGTGTTACAGCTCTTTTTTTTTTGTCGAGGAGCAGCRTAAACCTTTGAAGGGAGGAGGTGATAAGGTTATCCTTATCCTTATCCGTGTCCTGCCGCGACTCGGACCTCCCTCATTCACCTACCCACGCACCGACAAGCGCTGGGAAACAATAAACTGACACTGCAAAATACACAAAAAAGCCATAGGAAAAAAAAAAAAAAGAGTGCAACTGAGGAAAGCCTATTCTATATAAAAGGAACATAGAAGAGAAAATCATCTCACAGACCATACACCGTCCATTGCACATCTGCTCTCTTCTCYGTCAAGTCTGCCACCTGTTAAACCCTCAAGCTCCTCCAAGTCAGCAGAATGACAGACAGACATTTTCAGTAATTTTTCACCCTGGAGCTCACTTCTTCAATCTCCTCCTCTTCTCCCTATGTTCTCCCTCAGTGGGCTCCTGCAAATCTTTTCTGTAAGAACGATGATAAAACACTGTGTGGCTACTGCCCTCCCCTTCTCTCCTTTTCCTTCTCTCCCCTCTTTCACAACTTTTAATAGGTTATTTGGTAGGTTGCATTTAGATTTCTTTGCTTCTTCACATTTTAAAAAAGATAAAAAGAACAAAMCAAAAATTCCTGATGAAAATAACTCACATGCAATACAGAAAAACAGACATGCTCACTGCACATGGAATTATTCTGCCATGATTCTTCATAAATGCTAAGTTTTTGAAATATATGAAGTGAGATAACAGAAATCAAAGTATATTTTGTCAAAATGCCCATTATCTGTGCTTAGAAATCAAAGTATATTTTGTCAAAATGCTCATTATCTGTGCTTCCTTCACAAGCATTGCCTGTGGCAGGCACTGTAACTTACACGTGCAGCATGTCACATTTCACACTAAACCAAGCTCTCTTCCTAAAGCAAACATTCCATTTCTATCCTTTCCCACTTAAACAAASCCCAAGTGCCAGCCAGCTCCCTAACGCAAGGATGCTCAGACTGCTGACTGCAGTTTCCCAGGGCAGAGTAACCGTGCAGGAACACACAGGGACGCCCCRCACACCCTGCCCGTAACAACCCCCTTACCAAGACTCGCTCTGCCGGGCGCCCTGCGCCGCAGAGCCAAAGCCGGGGGGCTCCCTGCCCCAGGGCTCCCCTCACCTCGGCAGGCGGCCGGCCAGGAGGCCAGCAGGACGAGCAGCAGGAGCAGCGGGAATGCCGGCGCCGCGCTGCTGTCCCCGGCTCTCCTGGGGATGCGTCGCGCAGCGGTGGCCAGCGGCTGCTGGTGGCAGAAGATCCCCATGCCCGCGGTGCCTCCGGCTCAGCCTCCGTGGCAGCCTTCACTCTGGCCATGCCTCCCTGCCCTCCCAAACTTTTTAAATCTCCCCGGCACGTGGATGAGCAGCCGCTTGACTCACRAAGGACACGTCAGCCTGCCACCCGCCCCTGCCTCCTTCGCCAGCGCCCACGGCAGGGCCCGACCCTGCGGCTGCTGCGCGGGGCGCTGGTGACTCAGCCCCGCTGCCACCTCTGGCGGCAGCTGCCCATGGAAGTCRGGGTGGCAGTGCCCCTGCTCGGCAGCAAGGCGAGGGGATGCCCTTCTGCTGAGCTCCCTCTTGGAGAGAAAAGATCCCGCTTTAAAAGTACACGTGTAACATGCCCAGCCGTGCTAGCAGCCTCCTGACAGGGAGCGCGCGGGGTGCTGCTGCTCCCTTGCTGCGCTCGCTCGAGCACAGTAGTGAGGAGGGGTGAGGACGGTGACTTCCCAGGCCCTGCTCCCTCCCAGCCTGGAGGGCAGAAGAGGCAGGAGTTAAAACAAGGCATTTGCTGAGGGGCCCCCGYGCGCCGGGGCTGCTGCCCGAAGCCAGGCCTGCCCTGGCGCTCGCCTCGCTGCCGCGCTCCATCCCCAGTGGGGAGGCCGCTGCAAGCTCCAGGGAACCAAGGACACCTTGTCCCAGTAAGGACCCGCTTCATAACGCACTCTCAGTGACTTACGGAGCAGAAACAAGTAACGCGCGCACGGAGTGACACACCGTGGAACAGCACACAGCAACGCGGAGACACCTGCGGATTCAAATCCTGAACAGTCGCTCCGCGAGGCATTTTCCACAGGTCGCAGCTGCTCCTAGATGTTATTTTCTGTGTCCTGCCCGATCACAGCGAGCCAGGACAGCTCCAGGATGGGACATCCGAAAGCAGTGTCAGCAGCTGAGGCCGCTCGGAGCAGCGAGGAGCAGCACCCCGAGGCGCAGCGGGGCTCCCCACTAGCAGCAGCATCTCTCTTCCCTGCCAGAGTCAGCAGCCACTCTCCCATTAATAACACAGGGAAAGGAATTAATCCGTTTGTCAACGGACAACTGGCAACTTCTCAGAGTAGCACAGAAACAAGCCTGTATTTTGTATCTACTACTATGTTTATATCTACCTAATTAAAAGCGTTGCTTTAAGCCAATCCAAATCAAGGAACTGCATTTGGTTCTGGTTTCTGTTAATAAAAACGGAAGACATTTATTCAAAGGACATTATCCTAAATTAGAAGTCATCAGCCCCAAAGAATATCTCCCTGATCGTCATTCATCATTCAAATGCATGAGTCTCTGTCCTGAGCGCTGGCCTAAAGAAGCATTTAATTTGTTATATATTTATTAACTTGCAGCTTTTTGTTAAATATTTACTGTATAGTGAAATCAAATATATTACAATAATTGGTAAAGTTCTGAGCTAAATACCTGTAAACCTTCCTCACCTGAGTGGTACACAGAGTATTTTAAGAATAGAAAAATGATACTTCATGAAATAAATTTTTTGTTGTTGAAAAAACTCCCCCCAAACAAAAAAAAGTGAAAATTTGTAAAATATTTTCTTTAACATTGCATTCTGAAAATTTTTGCTGAACCCACTTGCATAAAACATACTAAAGGGAGTTTTGAGGATGATGGTGCCAAAAATTTCCAGTTAGAAAATTTCTGGTCCTTCATTTACCAGAAAAAAAAAAAMCCAAACCAAACAAACAAACAAAAACCCACTGCTCCCTATGCTCTCACTTGTGTTGTTCCCTAGTCTTTCATCTGAAACTCAAATTTTGTTTTCATTTGATTCCTGTTAATGAGCAAAAGCAGTTATCATTAAACATGCAAATCTATTTGTGCCCTGAGTTACATTATCTGACTCCTAGAGGACTGGAGTTTTCCAGTACTTCCAACACAGCATAAAATAAAATGTGTAATTCTCCTAAGCATATCCTAGAARAATGTAACTATTAATAAAATGCACATTTGCATTAAACCCAAACTCAAGTTTATACTCACAGAAAATTCCTAATGAAATATGTGAATTTTGATAAAGTTCTCCAAACTTGGACTGCTGTTTATATGTTTTGATAGCTTATGACTATTGAGTTTACACAATTCACAGAAAAGCAAGTAATAGAGCATCTTTGTAAGCAGGWGCAAATACCTTTTTCTGTATTGTATCTGTTTTTGTTTCATTTAATTGCTCGATGAAATTAATGTTACACTACTGCAGGAACAAAGCACATCCTCATTAAAAGAACAGCTTGGAGGATGTTTTGGATACTGTAATTAGCTACTCTGAAATATTTATGTTCTTCCTAATGTTGCTTGAATAATGTTAATTATGGCTAGTGGAAAGGAAATCAAACAGCTGAGTATGTGAAACCAGCATCATTTCCATCTTCAGAAGAGTCCAGGTCAGGTAGCAGGTCACCGACTCCACCGCCTTTCTGTGCACACACACACACAGCCTGTGAAAAGGTCTAGCCATACCTTTTTTTTCCTGTGACTTTGACTTAAGAAAAATGATGAGAAATCATTCCACCTACGTCTCAACTTAAGCACTAAGAGTTTTTATCCGTGCTGCATTTCCTTCGTCAAAATATTTTGAGCTTTATTAGTGCAGAATGCTTGATCTAGATCACTGGGAGCAAGCACACCAGTGTCTCTCAACTTCAAGTGGGAACATAAACACTTACTGCCCTTCTATGCAATGAACAAATTGCAAATATGGATATTATTCTTACCTGTTTATAGTTTAGAACACTAAATTAGTGGAGGCAAGTCTCAAACACTGAACATTAATCCCTACTCAGACACTGCACTTCTTCAAGGTATTCTCTTCATATACTACTACACTACAAATAATGCAGATATATTTCCCTATAAATAGGAAACAACAAATAAAACCCAAGCTACTTAAGTTGTGATAGGCCCTATATATTTTTCAGGATATTCTTTTCTTATTTTATTCACAATAATTCCTCGCAACAGTGACTAAATTCAGCAAGAGCTGTACTAGCACAGCTCTTTCCAAATTAGTGGATGCCTAGTGAAACTAGAACTAAATTTGGCTCTACTGGGCATAGAGAATCTCTTGAAGCCTTTTATTCACAGCTAGACCGCATGGGCAAAAACTGACTGTTTCCTCATTCTTAATTCAGGAGGAATTAATTAAGGTAGAAAGGAACATTGTTTACAGTCTTGGGGGGAAAGATCAAGTGAAAAATAATGGTTGTGGAGAAAAATAGCCCATGTTGTACCTATACATCAATAGGCAGTAAAATAGCTACTGTCAAGGAGGAAAGAGATACTGGAATCACCATGAYGGTTCTACAAGGGTACAGGCTCATTGCCCAGAGAAGTTAAAACAACAACAACAAAAACAAACTGGATGTTATAACTCACTAGGAAAGAAATTCTAGTACCGGTACTAGCATGCTTAGTACTTCTACAACCCCTGGTACAACCCAAAGTGGAATACTGGAGTGCTAATCACCCACAGCTAAAAATGCTGAGAACTGTAGTAAGTTCAGTACGAAGCAAGTTTGACAAGGCTAGGACTCTTCAGCTTGGTAATGCCAGACTTACAGACTGATACAGTGCCAGCCTATAAACACATATATAGGAACAATGTAAAAAAGGTGAGGTGATTTTTAACTAATTCTTCCACCAACATTTCCCATTCATTACGTGGAAATTGAAACAGAACATTTTGTATATTTATGAAGTCCTGAGCATAGCACAAAATTGTAATTTCTTTTCAAAGAAAAGCAATACATCAAATAATCATGATCACAGAGAGTAACGTAAGCTGCTTGAAAAGGGGGTAATCTCCAAGGTACTTCTGACCTGTTTTTCTCTAATAAAGCTCCAAACAAATTAACAGCCGTGATTGTTTAAAAAGCAGCGTGATTAGACCTACCTAAGAAAAGAGGGTTTTGAGCAACCTGTCACATAATGACACATAATAAAATTAAAAAATCAAAATTAAAAAATCAACATTGCTTTCAGAAATTGTAAGTTTTATAAATAAAAAGGCCCAAAGCAGAAAAGAAAGAAAAGTGAAGCTGGATGATATTAACACTTAGAAAGTTTCATCCTACCTTCCACAAGGCTGTGAGTTGAGCTGATGATTTTGTAATAGCATCATTTCTTTTTAAACAGACTAATGCTACCTAGGGATGGTTTATCCACAATATAAATATGAATGCARCTTGGAGGAAGGAAGCTTCCTGAAAATTTTGCTTATAGAACTCAGCTGTACTTTTGGCAAATTTGCTACCACTGACTCCAGAGAAAATAAGAGCTTAGGCTAAATTTGACATATTTCCTAACCTCTGACACTTCTCAGTTCAGTGTTTCCCTTTATTTTTAAGCTCAGCTAAGAATATTACTCTCAGAATTACCATAGGGCTTTCCTCAGCTCTCTAGGGAGCTATAGCTAGTGCCTATTACGTACAATTTCCCTGCACAGATGCAGCATGTAAACATTTCCTTGGTACTTTGGAAATAAACAAAACGAGACTCATATGCATAAGAAAATAATGTGTCACCATGAGAAAGAAACCTGCRAGATTCTTAGGTTAGGAGCATCCTTTTACTATATATGTACCACATACAGCATAGTAGTTTCCTCATCCTTGGTTACTGGTTTCATTTCTGTACCACACCATTAATTTTCTAAATTTCTTTAGGTTATATAATGTAAATGGTACAAATTGTAAAAAAAAAATATAGTAATAAACAACTTTAAAATGATCCATTCTTGTTTTGTTAAAAACAGACAAACAAACAAACAAAAAAAACCCCTAACTTGGACAACTGAGAAGCTGCATCTTTTTAGTATCTGCTCCAGGGTGCAACATCTGTAACTGGCTGAACTAGTAGCTGCTAGATTAACTCCTTATGGAAGTTCTTACATTTTAGGAGACAAAAACGACACTTTCTCTTTTAATTAGCTGATATTTTGGCATCATCTGAATACACATGCAGCTATATATGTCACTAC